GCTAGTCCCATGGACGAGAGAGTGACCCTGAAAGGGTTCAGCACGAAGAATGAAATGGTTTCTGAGCTTAGAACCGGGAACTTACATGGCATGAAGATCGGCACAGCCGTGGCCCATATATCAGCAGCAGTAAGAGGAGGGGTCTTGTCCAAGTTCACAAGAAGAAAGAAAGGGAATGCCAGAAATTTTCCAAAACAAATCAAGGCTCAAGTCAAGCAGTCTGTCTCAGTGTCTGTCTTTGGTTTCTGGCCTTATCTACCATATTTTGTGTAGCATGAGAAAAGATGGTGAAGAACTTCACACAAATAAGTAATTATATGAAAGCTCTTAATACTTTCCAGAGAAGCAGGATTCAAATTTAAACTAGTTCCTCTTGGGTGGAGCAGATACTCATCTAGTTTCCAATAACTGGTGTATGTAATATTTAAAATGAAGCACATTTTTAATGCTAGTATATACCCTAACCCCCAGTGGGGTCACCTGATACTTACCCATCAATGTCATCAGATGAGAAAGAACTTCAAGGTCAGGAGGCAGGGTGCCTTCTTCATGGAGAGAGGATGGAGTTTAAGGAGAGACATCTGAATTTGAATCTGGATTGGCTCTGCCACTGGATGTAGAACTCAGGCAAGTCTCTTTGTAACAATGAAGTTCCATGACCTCCTCTATGAAATGGGAAAACCATCTACCTGGTGATGTCTTGGTGAACATCCAGTACATGTTAGAGGCTTAAAAAGGGTAGCTGTTATTGTTACTTCTGATTTTGGAGAATTGGGTATCTACAGCTGAAGTGAACCTCCAAGGAAGCCCTATTTTGCCATGTGGTAACAATGTCAGAGGTTGAGGCTAGGTCTTCCAGACCTACTTATGGGCCTCCCAATAGACTCCTTTTCAACAGAAGTGCTTTTCTGCCTCTTTATGATTGCAACTCAAAGATCAAATCAAGTCACTCCCCACCCCAACCCACCAGCACAATGCAACTATCACTAAGCAAACCTCCCATACTGTCTGTGTCCTGGGAGTGGGGAGGGCGGGGCTAACATTGCTTCTCGTTCCAGATTCTGCAGACTTCTGAATTTCTCTGATCTCAGCCAACATGTGGCCAGAGTCTCCCTTTTTTACCTCCTCGAGCCCCCCTCCTTTTTTTGAATTTTTGGCACCATTTCCTCTCTACCGTCAGGCTGCCCAGGGAACCCAAACACTCCCTCTGGCCTTCTGCTGAGTAGGTTTAGTCCACAGGGCCTATCCTCTGGGTTCTGCTAACACAGAAGTTATTTCTCTGAGACTCCTGGGGCCAGATTTTTAATATTTACATAAGTAACATAAGCACAAAATGGTATAAAACTCAAAGTATACTTAAAAAAAATCATCTCCCTCCCACCCATGCCCAACAACACATAGTCCTTCCTTGCCTACTGTTACTGGTTTCTTCTTTATCTTTCCCACTGTTGTTGTTTAGTCACTAAGTCGTGTCTGACTCTTTGACCCCATGGACTGTAGCCCGCCAGGTTCCTCTGTCCATGGGACTTCCCAGGCAAGAATCCTGAAGTGGGTAGCCGTGTCCTTCTCCAGGGGATCTTTGCGACCCAGGGATCGAGCCCGCATGCCTGCATTGGCAGGTGGGTTCTTGACGGCACTGAGGGAGGCCAAAGGTGCTGCATTCCTTTGGAAACCTCTGTATGTGTATCTCTCTCCCTCCCTCCCTGGTTTGTTTGTTTGATTTTATTTCCCTTTCTTCCTTTCTCCCTTCTTTCCCCCTTTCTTGTAAATGAAACATACTATATTACTAGGTACCTTGTTGTTGTTTTTTTTTAACTTAACAAAATCAGTGCATAGTTTAAGGCCACTGTTAAATTTAGACTTTTTCTGTCCTCTCAGTGTTCTCCAATCCTTTATGCTTTGTCACCCCTATCATTAAAAAATTTCCTAAGGCACACAAAGAATATGTAACTATTCACTCATTTATAAAGTATAGCCATGTCACTAGTAGTATTTTTATTATGAAATATTAATTTACTAATTACTAGTAACATTTATATTATGAAATATTAGTTAAAATAGAAACTTTAAAATGATAAAGGATGAAAATTTAAGTAAGTTTTTTAAATTGTATTTGATTAGTACAAAATATTTGTGCTTTCTAAAATATTACTATTAGTATTTTTAATAGGATCAATGTGTTGAATATGCTTTGTCATGTCTGAAAATCTTGGGTGATCCCTTTGTGAGATAACATTCAACTGTCTGGTTGTATGTTCAGTATGTTTTGATACTTGGTTTCAAAGTCCATCAGAGCTGAAAAAGACACATTACAGAGATGTAGATCCAAATGGAAATAATACCTCATTAGATAAGTTTTATTAACTCCCAACATGCATTTTTCAATACCATCTTTTATGTAAAGACATTTGTTGAAATTTTTCCTGAGTTAAGAGTTTTGTTTTTTTTTTTTTGGTAATACACACAGAGTAAATGGGAATATTTCCAAACATCTGTTTTCAAAATGTTCTTGCCATAGATTAAATTTCTTTTGGAAAGAAATTACTTTCTCACTAAGTGTTAAAGTATCACTTTTACTTAGAAAGGGCATACTATTAATACTTTACTTAAAAAAAAAAATCTGCTAGATGACATATTGGGGCTTCCCCGATAGGTCAGTTGGTAAAGAATCTGCCTGCAATGCAGGAGACCTCGGTTCAATTCCTCGGTCTGGAAGATCCCCTGGAGAAGGGAACAGCTACCCACTCCTGTATTCTTGGGCTTCCCTTTTGGCTCAGCTGGTAAAGAATCTGCCAGCAATGCAGGAGACCTGGGTTCGATTCCTGGGTTGAGAAGATCCCCTGGAGAAGGGAAAGGCTACCCACTCCAGTATTCTGGCCTGGAGAATTTCATGGGCTGTGTAGTCCATGGGGTCACAAAGAGTCGGACACAACTGAGCGACTTTCACTTAGATGACACATTAACAATAGCCACTTGCTCATCTGCAACTCTTTTTGTCAAAGAAAAAATGCCAGACTCATTCTCAGGTTCAGTTCTACAGCTTCTTTAAATACACTGCCCTGAGATAGCTTGTGAGTACGTGGCCACTCCCCATCGCATGGTGAAGAGTTATAAAGATCCTCCTACTTGAAGACTTTGTTTTTATGAAATGAACCACACTGATAACATCCCACAGGCATGTAAACATTGGCATGGTTAACATCCTACAGGCAATCCCTGGCAGTATGCTGGACCCAGAAGCATGAGAAGATGCCTCACTTGTCCTCACTGCAACTCCTTCTCTTTCTGTAAATTGTCTGCTTGCAGTACCTGCAGTCATGTGAGACCCTCTGCCTGTCTCTTGTCTGGACTAAGGGAGGGCACCTTAATGAACTGATGTATCCCACGGAGGATGTGTACCCCACTTGGAGATTCTCTCCACAAAGGACTCTCTCCTATTAAATTCAAAAAGCTTTATTTTGTTCTTTAGTCTGTGAACTATCCCTCTCTCCCTTCTTTCTTTTTTGCACACCACATGGCATGTGGGATCTTAGTTCCTGGACTAAAGATGGAACCTGTACCCGCTGCAATGGAAGCGTGGATTCCTAACCACTGGACCACCTGGGAAGTCCTCCCTTCCTTCTTTTAATGAAAATACCTTCCAGACTCAGTCTCCACAGCACTGTATCCTCAAGGGACTTCCCTAGGGTCGTTTAGGGAAGGTCTGGCAAGTTGTCCTCAGCAGTCCTCACTGGCCCAGTGCCTGAGGCAGGTAGATAGTCAAAATGACAATGTCTGGCCACTTCCATTTATTAAGCAATGATTTTGTGTTGATCCCTACTCTAAGTGTTCCATAAAAACGGTCCATTCTCTCTGTTCACTGTAGGTATTTTCTATAACGTCTCCCTAAACACCGAATTAGTTCTCAAATACCTCCGCCAGGGAAATGCAGGATTTGGTTCTTACTAGATTCTGATCTAGTAATATTCAATAATATTAAATTCATGGCCAACAGCACACAGCACATGCCTAAACAAAATCTAACTCACACTTTTCTCCATAAGGCACATCATAGCCTTCTTGTGCTCAAGAACACTAGACGGCACTTCAGCACTGTGCATGGGAGCCCTTTTAAATAGCAAAATCACCAACAAAAAGCACAAAGATGCAGAAAATGTGGCACTGAATAGACTGCCAAAAGGACATGTGTTTACATTAGGAGAGCTGAAACAAGAAGGCAAGTGTTGCCTCATTTGCCCTCAGCTGAGAATGTGCAGATTGGGTAACTCAAATTTTTCATCACTCTGCACATACTCATGCATGACCACAAAGTGAGCAAGTATTGATTTGAAGATTACAGATCAATATTAATTAGTAGGTGATGCAAATATGGAACCCACTAATAATGAGGCTTCCTTGGTGAAAGAGTCACTTTGACGATGACACCTGAGCTGAGAGGAACCTCGGAAATCTCTTCTGGCTACTTTCTTTGAGACTTTGGGAGGCTAGTATAGTGAGATAACTTATCCAAAAACATCCATTCCATGTGTGACATGCCTGGGACGAGATTCTAGGTCTCTCATACCCAGCTGGTGCCCTTTCCATCACATGTTATTGGGACCAAATGCAACAATTTTAACTTGCTGATGGTGCTATATGCAAAACTTTGTGCACACTTCCTCCAGATTATTCTCTGCAATAAAAAAATTTGCTTTTGATGAGAATGTTCCATTTGAGGTCTTATAGTATGTGGGCACAACGAACAACATGTATATTTAAAAAAGGAAAATCTCAATCCTGAATGAAATGAGATATTAAAAGAACTCAATAAAATATTTGCAGCTAGAACAGGCTTTGACTTTTTAAAATTTAAGTTCCCCAGTGAGCCAATTCATAGACGGGTAATATGAGGGGGAAATGATGTGGAAAAAGGCAAATGTGCTGTGGAATTAGAGATGTGAGCATGTGATGTATAAATGTATAAATAGAAAAGGTGTGCCGAGATGGTAGTATTTTAGTTGGAAAGTTACTAACATATGCATATTTATAAATGCATTTTGATGCAAGAGGATCTCATTTTTTTTATATTCCAACAATTATACAAAATTAGGTTATTCCTTATTTGGCTAAAGAAGAACAGAATTTAAAACTCAAAGTAAAAACAGCTCATAACTAATATGGCCTGCAGGCTGTTTGATAAATGTGCATACTTAAAATGAACCTATGAACTAAAAAAAAAACAAAGAGAACAAAGAAAGAATAGGCAAAGATTTAGTATGTTCTCTGAATAAGATTCTTTGCTTATCATCAATAAGTAGGTACAGATACATTATTTCTTTTACATATAAGATTTTTAGTTCAAAGAATTGCACACCACCGTTCTTGCTAAGACTTTCTACATTCTGAAGTCTCTTCCTCACCACTATTATAAGTACATCTTATATTTGGAATGATAATTCAGATGTCCTTATCTAATATTTATGCAATACCTTCAGATACATGGTATGATAAACTTTTCTGTTATTTACAGAACAAGATAGTTACAACTCCATTTATTGCACTTTTCACATCATTAGAGAAGGAATTTAAAATTCTTATTCAAGGCCCCAACATCCCATTTATTTATCCATTTCTATCTGAATTGGTGTCTCAGAATCCATTCTTTGTACCCGTTAAGATAAATGATGTAATTCTCACTCATGCACAACATTTTCTTACAGTTAATTTTTTAATGAACCATCTCTCCCCCAAAACAGAGCCTCATTTGTTTTAAGGATAATTTTTATTGATGAGGAACATTTTGCAGTTTTAAGAAGATAATTTTCTTATTTATGTAACATTTTCTGTCTTGAAAATTTTCTTTTCAAAGATTAAAAGCCATGATGGTCTCCTTTAGGAAAGCAGCTTATCCATCAATAAGGATCCCATCCTCTTCCAAAAATGAATCGATTAATCATGTCAAAAGCTCGCAGAGGCTGGTCATAGGGCAAAATGTGGCCTCCACCTCGAACAATTACCTTAAAGAAGAAAAACAGAAGAAAAACTGAAATTTAGAAAACTGGATATTCTAAATACATGGAAACTTTTAATGTGGATTAAAATATTCTTAAAGCTCACATTAAATAAAGAACATAGTATATCAGTTCATGCTTTTGGATATGTTGATTGTCTGCTTTTGATAGCATTAATAATAGGTACCTTAAGGTAAGAAAGTTTTAAGATTGTGTAGTTATTTGATTTTATACTAAATTGCATCCATCTTTCATGTGTATGAAACTGGAAAATTCTTCGTTGTCTCTTTCTTCTTAGGAGGGAGCTGTCTGCTTCTCCATGCTGTGCTATAATTCTTACCTTGCTAGGGCCCTGAAGTTGAGAGACCTACCCCAGACCAGCTCTGGTTGCAACTAGGTAGAGAAATGTACCTAATTCTGCTGTTCAGTGAGCTGGTCCATTGGCCTTCACACTAAGTTACACCTTCTACCTTAACTACACCTTCTACCTTAGTCTTTACCAGTAATAAAGGAGATATTGTGAGTCTCAAAAAAATTAAAACAACAACAAAAGAAAACTCCTTGACATCTGAAATTTTTAAAGGCCTAAAATTTTTTGAGCAGCAAAAAGTTAAAACATTCTATTTTTTCCAAGATTTTATTATGAAACAGTTTCAAACATATAGCAGATTTGAAAGAATTTCATATACACACCATTTAGATACTCTTGTTAACACTTTACTCATTTACTTACAGCTGCATCTCACTGCCCATCTATTACCTCATCTTATCTTTTTGACACATTTCAGAGTAAGATGGGAATGTCAGTATACTTATCCCCAAATTTTGTGTAAAATTGACATACAATGGGATTCTCTGGTGGCTCAGACAGTAAAGAATCTGCCTGCAATGCAGGAGATGTGGGTTTGATCCCTGGGTTGGGAAGATCCCCTGGAGAAGGAAATGGCAACACACTCCAGTGTTCTTGCCTGGAGAATCCCATGGACGGAGGAGCCTGGCGGGCTACAGTCCATGGGGTCGCAGAGTCGGACATGACTTAGTGAGTGACTCAACAACAACAACCAGGTTATACAATTGTTAAGTAGGGGAAGTAGCTAGAACCCTGGCTTCTGACCTAAACACTAGTGTTTTAAATCAAATTCCAGTACTTTCACAATAATTTCTTACTGTGAAGGGAACTTTATGGCTTGGTCACAGAATGTTTCACCCACCTCTCCGCATACTTTGAGATAGTTAAGGACTATGGGATCGGACTTACCCCTCATTGGCCTTTGGAGACAACTGCTTCATGCTACCCTCCACCAGCAGTCAGCTGTGCCTTGCTGCTAAGACAGCAACGTCCATCTACATTTGTGTTTCAGCTTGCATTTGGAAATCCAGCACGTCCCCCTCTTTGTCACAGACCGAAAGTGAACACATCTGTGACAGGAGCCCATGCACGTGACCCTGGAGGAAGACTTCTGCTGCCCCCCACGACCCCAGGCTAGAATTCTCCTCCTGTGGCTTCCCATCCAGTCCTCCAGCCTTGGCAGGAATCAGATGAGCAATTTTCATGCAACTTCAGCTCAGCTGAGGACACTTAATGAAGTCGTGTTTATGACAAAACCCAGCTGCTTCAGCTGGAAATGAGTTTTGCAGCAATCGTCCAGAACAGTAAGAAACTGAATACTCAAGAGCTAAAGGTCATCCTGCCTCCCTCCCCGTCCAGGACTACTGCTCATGGAGGGCTAGCACAGTGCTTCACGGCCTGGGCTCGGGAGTCGGAGCACAGGAGCGTGACCAGAGGCACAGCAAACTGTGTGATCTTGGGCAAGCAACTAACGTCTCTGTGTTTCAGTTTTCTTAACGGTACAATAGGGAATGAAATATTATGTCCTGGGATAGTTGTGAAAGGAATTAAAGGAATGATATCCATGGAACACAGACAGTGTCTGGCCTGGGAGGGTTCTTGAGAAATATTAGCTGTTGTAATTATTCTTCCAATAATTATCTCTATTCAAAATGTAAGATCAAAATTCATATAACCAACATAACTAACCTAGAACATTGTGTTCCTACATTAGCATAAAAATCTTGGTTTAAGGGAGTTGTTTAAAACAGTCATTCTCAAACCTAAAGGGGAATAAAAATACCCAAGCTTTTAAAGTAAATTGCTAGGTTCTCACCCCTAGACCTCCCAGTTCTGAAGGTCCCAGTCAGGGTCTAAGAATTTGCACTTCTAAGAATTGCAAGATAATGCTGGTGCTGTTGGTCCAAAGATATTCTTTGAGGACCTCTATTTAAAAGAACTTCCTATTTTGTGACAGGTTGTTCTGTTTTTACATCAAGGGAAAACACAAAAATCTGTTTAACATCTACTAATGACCTCACCTTAGTGTATTTTTTCCTAATCATCTGTTCTCCTGGTGTTTACACACACACACACACACACACACACACACCCTTCTACAGCCATGATAATCAAGTGGCAAAGAAGAGATGACAGGGGTTAGGTGTTATAATTCTTATTCTCAATGACTTGCCTGATCCTTGATCCAATTCTGAGCTGCCATATGTAATGACCAAATGACATCATAAATGGTGTCATTAAGATTGGAAAGAAAAGCTCATTTAAGAACAAAGTCTTTTTCACATGACACAAAATTCTCAAAGTATGTTCTCTAGCAGATTTCCATGTAGCATTTTCCTGAAGTTAACCTCAAAAATGAATTTATGAGTGCTGAAAAAATAAATCACTCTGTTGTAATAGCCAAGCCACTCACCACTCACAAATCAAGGACACAAACCACTCCAGAGTTTTTAGAGGTGTGTAAAAAAATGTGACAGGGCCATGATTATATATTTAAATGTGACAAGACTAATCTTGAGGCTCCCTGGATAGAAATGGTCTCATCACCAGAAACTGGATATTTTGGGTGCTTTCACATTAGAACTGAAACTGCTAAACTCATGTGTTCCAGATGTCGTGAATTTTAAAAGGGTTATACAAAACACTTTAAAGCTTCATTCCACTTTAAAGCTTCATTCCACTTTATGTTTTAGAAAAGAATATGATTCTCCATGGAACTAGAAACATGGACCTGGCAATCAAGATTTCTCAGCTGTGCCTTTTGAGATGAAATATAAGGGGAAATTCATAATGGATGTGTTGACACATATGTGTCATGGGAGACTTCAAGGGGGGTCAAGGAGGAGCAGATCACTGGACAGACAGTGGTGGGTGGGGAGGGGGAAAAAGATGCAGTAAAGACAGAAAACTTGAGTTCAAAAGCAGGGGGCATGAAACCGTACTGCACATGCAATAATCTGAAAGGAGTTCCAGTTAATGAAGAATTAGAAGAAAAGCAGAAGGAACAGTTGAACAGGTAAACCCCATATGACATGCTGCTGGGATCCACCGACCTTTTCATACAGGATTTGTGTGTGTGTGTGTGTTAAAATACACATAACATAAAATTACCATTCTAACCATTTTACTGTGAAGAATTCAGTAGCGTTTAATATATTCACAATGTTGAGCAACAATCACCACTATCCAGTTGCAGAATATTTTCATCACTGCAAAGGAAACCTGTACCCATTAGCAATCAGTTTCCATTCCTGTCTCCCTGCCAGCCTCTGACAATCACTAACCTACTTTTGGTTTCTATGTTTTTGTTGCCTATTCTGGGGATATCCTCGAGAGTTTTAAGCAGAATAGTGATATGCTCAGATCTGCATTAAAGGAAGATGACTTCATAGTCACTGAGGGGGCTGGTTTGAAGGAAATGATACTGGGGCAAGGAGGCAAGTTAGGAGACTAGCTGTTCAGATGAGAAATGATGTAAAGGAGAGGTGGTAAGAAGGGGAGAGAAGAGGGATGTTGGGCTTGAACCTGAAAAATTAGTGATTAATCAGGTATAAAGTTAAGTGAAAAACCCTCCCCCCGCTCCCTAACACATGAACATCCTTCCCATTCCAGGCTTCTGAAACATGCAGCTTTGCAAGAAGTGATGTTATTAACCAAGAGGCACACGGCCAAAGCAGGTCGGGAGGCAGGTAAAAGAGGACAGATTTCTTTCTTTTTTTGGATGACTGTGGCTGTGTGCCAATAAAACTTTATTTATGGACACTGAAATTAGAACTCCATACAACTGTTATGTGAAACAAAAATCATATTTTTTTTCAAACATTAAAAGATATAAAAACCAAATTTGGCTTGTGTGCCATAGAAAAACAGGCAGAGAGGCAGAGTTGGCCAACCCTGACTTTAGAACACATCTTCCTGACATCACCATGAGGCAAGTGGCTAACACCACCCTCACCACTTCATGCAGTAGAGCATGAGAACCTGAGAATTCATCCAGATTAATTTCCCTCTCTTCCTCCAATTCACAGAGGTTTTGGTGCCTGACTTCAGGCCCTACAGCTTGTGAGTGACAGTGTCAGGCTGGAGCTTGGGTGTCTTGATTTAAGTCTTACCTACCTTCCCCCACTTGGTTCCAAAAATCAAAATTTAAGATTTCATCCACAGCTACAAAGTCCTTCTGCCATTTCTCATCAGCAGTTCATCATTTTTTTTCACTTTAAAGGAATTTATTCTAATAAATACCTTAAAATTAAGGATTCAGTAAGCTCAAATTATACAGAGAATTATTTTTTTTTAGAATTTTATTTATTTATTTTAAAGAGGACAGATTTCTAATCCTTGTTTTCTACTACAGATTAATGGAGACACTCAAGATCATCTTGTTTGTTTCTGACTTACATTAAAGTTCTTTTATTACTTTTATTCCATTCCACATTTACAAATGCTTACCTTTTCACTTTCAGACATTAACTCTGAGTATAAATTAAATAAATAGGCATTGAAATAAAATGTATACTAAAAAGAAAAGGTACTTGGAAATAAGAATAAAAAAATAAGCCAAAACTTGCTAGCAGCCACCTCATAATAAAAGAGTGAGGCAAGTCGCTTTCAATAAAAGAAAAAAAGCCAAGATCAAGGCTCAGTGTTGATCCCACAA